GTATTTGATAATGTTTTGATCTTTTAAAATATTACATGGTAAAAACAGAAGCTGCACTTCGTATTAGTGACAAACGTTGGTGTTTTTCGACGAGTTATTTTCATTTTTGCTTCTACTTTTCATTTAAAACAGGTTTCCGTTCTCAGCAGGTTTGTATGGTTCTTCTTCTACATATTAAAAAAAGTTGTTAAACAACTGAGTGGCACACTACTGCTACTAGTGGTGAGAAAGTGTATTGCACCTTATTCAAAATCAATGCGGTCCCGCGGCCCTCTGCGGCCCAAAGTTTCAAACTGTTGTTCTTTTGAGGCCCTCAAGGTGGCGCCCATGGGATAAGAATCTCTGAGATAGATGATAAAACACTTACACTAAACACAGGCAGACTATGGGTACATGTGATTGTACCCATAAATACCTCAGTTACATACATGAAATTTTGTTTTGTTTGCTGCCACAGATACTGAAGCTGCTCATGGGGAATGTGGTGGTTGGCCATGCCATCCACAATGACTTTAAAGCCCTCAGCTACTTGCACCCTTCTGTCCTGACAAGAGACACTTCCAAAATCCCTCTTCTCAACCTGAAGGCCGGCTTTGGTGAAAAAGAATGTGCTTCACTGAAGAGACTTACCAAAGCCATCTTCAACCGAGACATCCAGGTATTTAAAGTGATTTATGTTAAGTGGGGGATGGAGCGTAAAAATCAAATTTTCCAGCAATTAAACAAAACAAACAAAAGTTTTTTTGCTCTTGATTTGATTCAAGACATAAGTACACTACAAGGTCTTCTATGTTAGTAAAAAATGTCTGAATTCAAAGTTGTTTATACACGTTTTTTCTTTTTATATTTCATGTAAGTCACATAAATGTGTCAGAGGTACTGTAGGTCCCTCTGTCATAATGTTTGAAGCACTTAATCCTCACCTAGGCTTTGGAAAACCTATTAAAGTGCCTGTGCCATCAAACATTTGTAATAAATACAAATACATTTTTGGAAAGACAACATTGATGAGATATCACAAATCAAATTTCATACCGCTGAGATGAACTGTTGTTGAGATATTTGCATGTGAAGTAACAGGAAGTGATGTCAAAGGGGAATGTCTGAATGTTACTAGTGTAACTAAAATAGCTAACAACTCAGACTGTAGAGAAGAATTTGATGTTTCTTTAAATTGTTTTAAGTCACCATCAGAGAAGAAAAAGTTAGAATTTAAATATTATAATAAACAAAGGCCAGGGAGTTCATTTTCTTTAAGAGTTCCTGTTTGATGTCACTTCCTGTTTCACTTTGGCTGAGCCAAGTCCAAAAGAAAATTTGCCAGTTATGAGACAAAATTAGCAAAATTGTGTGTTTTATGCCAAGTTCCTTACATATAAAAATGTTTTCTTTGACTTTTTGTGTTTGAAGAATATGCATGTCACAGGCACTTTTAAGTGTGTAAATTTGGGTACAAATCTGACTTGATGGTATTTATGCAGTTTAAACTTTTTGCACCTGGTTTGTGTTTTTGGCCTCCTTATGAGAGCGTAAGGACCCCATGTTGGTGACCATGGAATTATATTCATATCAAGTTGTGAAAGTCAATGTTGCACCTTTGAAATGATAAACTGCTGTCTCCAGCTTGAAGGCGAACCTGTTTCTCTTGTGTCCTCAGGTTGGAAGGAAGGGCCACTGTTCTGTCGAGGACGCTAAAGCCACCATGGAGCTTTACAAAGTGGTGCAAGTGGAATGGGAAAGGACTCTTCTCTCCAAATCACTGGCTACTTAGTGCCACGTTTGAGGAGACGACATAAAAATAAAGTCAGTTGAACCTCCTAGATGTTGAGGACTCCTTCCAATGAAAAACAAGGTTTTTGCCTAAAGTTTCCATATGATGGTTGAGAAATGTTTGAAGATGTTATGAGTGAAATACTGTAGCATTCACCACTATTGCTGAGAAATTTCAATTTAAAACGGCAGTGAATAACAGGTTTTATTTTAAGAAAAAAAATGTCTACCCCCGCCCGAACTAGTTTGATCTTGTTTATGTGAAACAGGCAACAGTTTAGTTGTGTGGTGATGTAGTCTTTCTAAACTGTAACGCACATTTTAAACTGCTGCAGTTTTGAGAGTGTTGGAAATGAAAGCGTGTTAATTTTATAGGTGAACATACACCAAAGTGAGCATGAGCCTTTTTATACATCTTTTACCTAGTTATTGTTCATTAAAAGAGATGCATGTTCAGTTGTATAAATAACCCAAAAGAGTTAAAGGCTCTACTTTTATATTCAAAGAAGAAGAGCTTTTAAGCTTCTTTCTGATCTTTTATTTCCTCAGAGGATATTATGCACAAACACGTCTTTTTGAAATGTAATATTCCTTCTCAGGGTTTACATTGTGTTTAAATGGTGCTCCTGCCACTTAGAGGCGCAACAAAAAGATATTTTTAATTATGTCACGTGAAATATATGTTATAATGTTCATCTGTTCCTGCTCACAGTCATTCAATAGTTCTTCTTTAGCATGATGGCTCAGTGGTTCGCACTGATGCCTCACAGCAAGAAGGTCCTGGGTTCAGACCTTCTAAGTTTGCCTGTTCTCCTCGTGCTTGTGTGGGTTTTCTCCAGGCACTCTGGTTTCGCCCCCACAGACCAAAAACATGTACAATAGTTTGCCTTCAGGCCCAGACCTCCTTTGCAAAAGAGATCTGTGATCTCAAAGGGATTTGCCTGGTTCAATAATGGTAAAATAAAATCTAAAAATCCTTGTAACAGTTTTATTTATTCTCTTCTTGTAGCTTTGAACTGTTGATCAAGAATTCAAAATCTGTTCAAATGTTTTCAGAAGAATTTCAGCAGTTTTTAAGTATTTAAAAAAAGTTTTAGGAATGTTACTGTCATACTTTGTAGTTTTATAACCAGTAATATTCAGGATCTAGATTTGTGACAATACATACAGTATATACTGTATTAGGGGTGCAACGGTACAGAAAATTCACGATTCGATAATTTAGTGTCACGGTTCAAAAAATTTTTGATACAAAACAGAGAAATTCCAATGCCCTTCTTAACTTGTAGTTTGTTTAAATTAATTATGAACATTTGTTTAACCTGAAAAGTACAGTTTTTAAATATTGCTGAAACAGCAAGTTTGTCAGTGGATCTGTGCTCGACAATTCAGCCCAGCTGGAGTAGTCGAACACTGAGCCTTCAGCACAGAGCATCTTCGGACTTCATTCAAAATTCAAAATGTGTCTCTCAAGTGGAGTCCTAAAACCCAGTTACTCTCTAAATATTTGGTATTTGACTTTACCACAAATGCTTTAATGCTGCTGATATTCTTCATCTCGTAGAAGTTTTTCAGGCACTAAATTAAGATTTCTCATGATCGTCATTTCTGTTCTGTTGCCCTAAAGAGAAATTTACTGCTGAGCTGTATTTTTTTTGTAATCAGTACACATCACCATCATGCAGTGTCTGATAAAGTTACACAAAAAAGTGTTTTTTTTTTTTTGCCTTTTTAATTTAAAGTTTGTAATTTTCTGAAAAATAAAAAACAGCTCATTCATTGACTCATCCTGCCCTGCTTATTAATTTTGTATAACACGGTTTGAAGTTTCATGCCTCTCCCTATGACTATAGATGCAAAGAAAAATTGCATTTGTTTGCAGCTACAAGTGACTTGATGCTGATTGTGAATTCTGATTGTAATTTTAGAGCAGACACAAAAACGATTCAGTTCAAACCGGAGCTGGTGTTTAGTTAGAGCCACTTAAAGGGGCAATATCATGTAAAATCAACTTTTTTGAGTTTTATATCATGTTATAATGTTATACTCTCATAAAAAACATGCCCAAAGTCTTGCTCTGACTCATTCATGCATGTTTGAGAAATCCTGAAGCGTTTTTAGGAAGACATGCTGAGTTGCAAAATGACAGGTGGGGAACAGAAACGCCTTTTGGTACCAGAAACGCCCCTGGGACGTGTCTTTAAGCCAAACTTCCTCATGGCAGAGTGCACTCCCTTCCCCCATCCAGCACAGATGCTCCAAATCCTCCTGTCCTCAATGCTCTGTCAGCTCCTGGAGATGCATTCAGTAAGGTGTCTAGATCTGAGATGATGATCAGATGAGAATATTTTATTTATTTTAGATTAAATAAGACACCACCTTTATGTTGACCTGCTCTGTGCGTAAAGATGAAAATGTCTCTGTGTGAGCTGATGCCACAGATCTGCTGTCTTGTGAAGCCTCGTTGCTACAGCCTGGATCTCAATGCAGCAGATTGAGTGCTTTCCCCCATCCAAGGACAGCGAGACGACCGCTTCAGCTCTGTGTCCCGGAAGAGGATCTACTCACTGCGCCTAAATTCATATTATCAGGCATATTGATAGGCGCCTTCCAACCTAGGTGGTAGACCTTCTAAATGTTTCATCTGGATTTTATTTATTTTCAGCTGGATAGCTTTAGCAAAACTACCCCATTGTCTGGTAAACCATAAACATCCGGGAACCGTGGATGGAAAGGCTCAGAGACTGTCACCAAGCTGCAGCACCGATCAAAGAACAAGCAACGCAGCACTGTGTTTGTATTTCAGGCCAAACTGGAAATAAAACTCAATTATGTCACGTATTTCCATTTCAGTAAACACACAGCTTGTCTAAAACAATCTGAAAGATCCTGTGAGGTATCTCGTGCACACGACTTACTAACTCATGGGAACAAGACATTGGTGGGGAAGACTTACTAAATGGTGGGAACAAGATACTGACTGGTGGGAACGAGATGCTAACTGGTGGGAAAGACTTACTAACTGGTAGGAACAAGATACTAACTGCTGGGAACTATTTACTAACTGGTGGGAATAACTTACTAACTGGTGGGAACGACATACTAACTGGTGGGAACGAGATACTAACTGGTGGGAACGACATACTAACTGGTGGGAATGAGATACTAACTTGTGGGAATGACTTACTAACTGGTGGGAATGACTTACTAACTGGTGGGAACAAAATACTAACTGGTGGGAACGAGATNTGTCTGCTGCTCTCAACAGTACTTCTCACTCAAAATACCTTTGAGGAAATGTATTTTCAGATGCCAAGTAAACTGCATCTATGATTTATTTTCTATTTAAACATAAAAACAGCATTTTAATAACAACTAAAAGTGACACAGATACTTTATTATGGTATAGTATTTAATTGTATGCCTGAGAAACATAATATTGCTCCTTTAATGCTCCTGCAAAGACGGTGCTAGTGTTTAAATACATTTAGAAACAGTTTATCTGTTATTTACAAGAGTTTTTGATTTTGCATCTGACAGTCGGTGCCATAGACTTTAGGAGTCTTATGAAAATATCACCAGACACTTTGAATGTTTAGCTCTACTCACTGGACTTTTGACTATGGTTCCATCGAGTCCTGGCAGCACAAGTGTTTCATTACAAAATAACATTTTAATTATTTTTTGATCTTTGAGACACTATACAAATGTTGCATTTCTTTGGTCCAATCTAAACTTTTGTAAATGTTTTCAATACTGATTTTGAATAGTTTTTAAGACGCTTAAAATAAAAAAGATTAAGTGATTATTAGTTGTATTAAGAGCTGGAAACACTGAAAGCACTGCTTGTTTCTGGGAAATCTAATATAGATTTTAAGGTGTTTATCACCCCCTGTGTCGTGTTATTGAAAGTTAGACATTGATTTTCTTTCATTCCTTTTTGTATAACAGCTTCTATGCAAACATCACACAAAATACACATTAGTCACAGCTCAGCAGTAGCTCCATGTGCATAATTCGATTTTTATTAAGCAGAGCCAAGCCATCAGGAATTTCTCCATTCTGCAGTTTTACCTAAACCTTAATATGGGCTGCTGCTCAGGTGCATGAGGTCTTATTTGATCAGCTTACTTATAAAAGGAAACAAGATTATTTGATGTAAGCTTTGTTAATTAAACTCGAGTTTTGAAATAAAAACAATTTTTGAAAAGGCAATAAAATTTTATCTTTACTTTCGGATTTCATGAATCCAAACTGGAAGATAGGGCCTCAAGAATAACAATAAAGCTTAAATGGTACTTTATTTATATATCTATTTTTTTGTATATCAGGGCTTCAGCTGTTTTTCTGTTATGTATCACATTGTTGTTATTTTTTTTTCTTTTTGTGTATTAATGTTTGTTTAGTGATTCTGCACTTCTGTTACCTGTAAATCCTGGCAGTTTTTACATTTTGCTTTCCATGGCCTTAGATCATAACCACATGAAGACACCGGCCTGGATGGATGGATGGATGGATGGATGGATATTTCATAGACCTCAGCTCCCTTGTTTACCCAGTCACCCTCACCAGAAATGCATTTCTAATCATTTCAATCCTCCAAGCAAATAAGCAGATCTCCCTCATCCTCTGTCAGATCATCATTTACAGCGGGTAAAATAAGTATTGAACACYTCACCATTTTTCTCAGTAAATATATTACTAGAGGTGCTAATGACATGAAATTTTCACCAGATGTCGGTAACAACAACCAAAGTGATCCATACATACAAAGAAATCAAACCATAAATGTCCAGAAATGAAGTTATTTGTAATAATGTGAAATGGCACAGGGAAAAAGTATTGAACACATGAAGAAAGGGAGGTGTAAAAAGGCATGGAAAGCCAAGACACCAGCTGAACTCTCTCAGTAATTAGAAAACAAGCCTGCCCCTTGTCAGTGCAAGTTAATATCAGCTGGTTCAGTCCCAAATGATGGCCAGGTATCACACAAGAACCATCTGATGATGGGTAAAAGTAAAGAGCTCTCTCAAGACCTTCACAACCTTATTGTTGCAAAGCATAATGATGGCATCGGTTACAGAAGAATGTCTAAACTTCTGAAGGTTCCAGTGAGCACTGTTGGGGCCATAATTCAGAAGTGGAAAGAACATRATTTCACCATAAACCGACCACGACCAGGTGCTCCTCACAAGATTTCTGACAGAGGAGTGAAAAGAATTATCAGAAGAGTTGTCCAAGAGCCAAGGACCACTTGTGGAGAGCTTAAGAAAGACCTGGAATTAGCAGGTACGTTTGTTTCAAAGAAAACAATAAGTAATGCACTGAACCACCATGGCCTGTATGCACGCTCACCACGCAAGACTCCACTGCTGAAGAAACAGCATGTTGAAGCTCCTTTAAAGTTTGCTGCACAACATTTAAACAAGCCTGTGTAATACTGGGAGAATATAGTCTGGTCAGATGAGACCAACATTGAACTGTTTGGATGCCAGAATACACATCATGTTTGGAGGTCAAATGGCACTGCACATCAGCCCAAAAACACCATACCAACAGTGAAGTTTGGAGGTGGGAACATCATGGTGTGGGGCTGTTTTTCAGCATATGGTACTGGCAAACTTCAAATAATTGAAGGAAGGATGAGTGGAAAAATGTACAGAGACATTCTTGATAAAAATCTGCTTCCATCTACCAGGATGATGAAGATGAAACGTGGCTGGACATTTCAGCAAGACAATGAGCCCAAACACAAAGCCAAGGAAACTCTCAGTTGGTTTCAGAGAAAGAAACTAAAGCTGCTGGAATGGCCCAGCCAATCACCTGACCTGAATCCAACAGAAAATCTATGGAAAGAACTAAAGTTCAGAGTTCATAGAAGAGGTCCATGAAACCTTCAAGATTTGAAGACTGTTTGTGTGGAAGAATGGGCCAAAATCACACCTGAGCAATGCATGCAACTGGTTTCTCCATACAGGAGGCGTCTTGAAGCTGTCATTGCCAACAAAGGCTTTTGTACAAAGTATTAGATAAATTTCAGTAAGTGTGTTCAATACTTTTTCCCTGTGCCATTCCACATTATTACAAATAACTTCATTTCTGGACATTTATGGTTTGATTTCTTTGTATGTATGGATCACTTGGGTTGTTACCAACATCTGGTGAAAATTTCATGTCATTAGCACCTCTAGTGATATATTTACTGAGAAAAATGGTGACATGTTCAATACTGATTTTACCCGCTGTATATGAGATTATTACTACTTCGAATTATACCTCAAGACCAGGTTAAATTAACCCTGACCAAAATAAACTTTCTTGAGAAGCAGGTTGAGAAGACTGGAAGTGCATTATGTTCACCTCAGTATTGCAAACCATGACCCATCATAAATATAACCCATTTATTTAAAAACACATTTTTTAGTGGTTTTCAATGTAAATACAAGCTAACTTGTTGAAATCTTGTCACATGATTCTGCCACATTAATCAGCTAAAAGAGCCTCTTCTGCCCCCTGGTGACCAACCAACCAACAAACAAACAAACAAACAAACAAAAACTACTGAGATCAAATCTTTAACTGTAAGTTAATACAGCTATTCAGTTTAAATCAAAAATATTGTTAGGAGCATCACACTTAGTTTTACTTTATTGATTAAAATGTGTAAGTTGAATGTTTCTGGTCATTTTGGTCTGCCTCAACTGGTTTTGTTATGCAGGAGGAAGAGGAGGGGGAAGGAGGTGGGTGTATTCAGTCTTTTAACAGCTCTCATCCCAGTTTCCTCTCTCTCCACCTCCCCTCATCTTGGCAGCAGGGAACAGCTCGGCCTCTTTAGCACTGAGGGGATTCTGGAGGTCCTAAAATAATAAAAGCTGCACCTGCTGGAAGGTCTCCATCAGAAGAGCTCTGCCAGCTTCCGACACAAAGACTGAGAGTTTCCCCTTTTCAAAATGAAGTAAGTCCAATCTGATGCATTTTATCAGAACAAAGCATCACTGGGATGGAGTTGCAATTTCTCTTGGAGTTTTAGTATTTTTACATAATTTTGCACAGGTTGTCTTTGCGTATTGTTGCAGGGGAATACCTTCTTTGGATCAGTTAACTTCATAATGCAAAATTACTCTGAAGAGTTAAGTGTGGTAAATGTCACCTGCTGAAGCATCTCTGCATGCGTAAAGTGCACTCAGTAAGGAAAAGTACAGAATAATAAACAAAAAATTACTATATGTTTTAAAATTCAAAATGCTCAATATGTTGTCCTTTCAGAATTTGGTAATACTATTACTGGGTAACCCAAGATCCAGCATAGTTTAACATTTTGTTAGCAAAACTGACATTTGTGACATGATTACTATGTTTGCTGTTGAGCATGTAAACATTTATTTGCTGGTATTGAAATATGATTTGAGCAATAACAAACTAATCCAACACTTTCTGCAGAGAATGAGCTTTTCTTCAATTATTTTAAATTTGTAATAATTGATGATTGTTACTGAAACTTTTAACCAGATATGTGTCCTCGTCACCTTTTATCAGAATACATGTTGATTTACTCTGGCTTTGATCCTTGTCTAGTATTTGTCCCGAATTGTCAATGATCAATTTTTTAAATCATATTTACTTTTTACACTTAGTTATGAATCATCATCATCATTATTATTATTATTATTATTATTATTATTATTATTATTATTATTATTATTATTATTGTAATCTTTGTTTTCATAAGTTTTGAGTTAAGCCCCTTGAGTTACTGGACTATTTGAGAAATGCCGAAACCTGTTCTTGGAGCATCATTTTTAATTATCTGCACTTTTCCCAAACAAACTAATTTTTTAACACATATGTACAAAAAGGATATGGCCACTAAAAAAAAGATGATAATAATAAAAATTTGGACTTTAATCTCAGAATTCTGAGAAAAGTCAGAATCTAATCCTCTTTCATACATATGTTAATAAAACTTCAAACATTATTTGTCCTTCAGAACAGCATCATCTCTGACTGGGTGTTCTATGAGCATCAGTCCAATCTAAACGGTTAATTTAAGAAATCTACAAAAATATGTCACTACTTGAAGATATCAATGTTTAAGACCCTGTCACACTACAATGTTTTAAACAACTTAGGCAAACTTGTAAAAAATTTAAAGACATCTGTGTGGGAGATTGAATAAAAAAAACTGGAAGCCTCTTGTACATACTGTGATGCTAACAAATTGATCAAATAAATAACTTTTTTTAGTGTTTTAGACATGAAAATTAAAACTTTATAGTGTGACAGGGTCTTCATGCTGTCTTTAAAAATGGGTTCAGTTTTTCAGTTCAGAACCTTTAAACAGAACTTTCCACTCTAAAACACAATGAAGTTACTCTGTTTGAACAACAGTAAAGCAGCTGTTGCTTCATGTAAAGGTTTTACAGCTCCTGAAAATAAGTGACCCAAACAACAAATCTTATGTATTGCTTTTGTTTTCTTTCCACCGTGTTTGAGGTGGAAAACCTGATCACAGCTGAGGTGTTTTATTAACCAGCAGCTGAATCCCTCAGCTCACAGCTTTGGTCAGAGCTGTAATAGTTTTAGTCAGCAGCTAACGGCTAATAAGACATGGCTGCTGCTAAATCGTTTAACGTCTCTCTCAGCTCTCACTCAGGCTTTACGGAGACTCTTTTTTTAAATCTTTCTTTGAGAAGTCTCTCTTGCTCTCAGCCCTCCTTGGCTGCTCCTTGTTTCCTGTCAGATTGTCTGTTTGAGAAGTGGGGTGGGGGGGGGTATTCAGGTTGCCCTTGGAGATGGGCTTCCTTTGAGGTGGTGTGATGTGGGACTGGTGGGCCGGGGTGGTGAGGGGCAGAGCAGCGGTGGTCCACGCCGTGAGAAAATTGAGGAGCTGCTGGGAGGTCAGGCCGGTCTAATGGGGGGCTCAGCAAGTGGTCTTGCACCCATTCTCCAATCTGAATAACAGAAGCGTTGGAGGCGCTGTTTGATGCTTTGGTTATGAGTCTGAAAGCCTTTCAGTGTCAATGAGTTTCTCTGCTTTTACTGATTTTGAAGTGTTTAATTAACTGATCCAATCTCAATTATTCTCAAAAACCAGTCAGAATTCATACAACTACCATTTCTAATCCCATTATTGTTACCTAGAAAACAATAACACTTTCCCTCTGAAACACTAACCTAATTATTGGTCTTAATTCAGCATATTATCAAGAAAATATTCAAGTTATTTTTGGAACAACATTTACAAAAATGGCTGCAGCTGGAGTGACGTTATTATGGGTGGCAGAGTTGTAAAGTAACTAAGTACAAATACTTCTTTACTGTACTTAAGTACAATTTTTGGGTATCTGTACTTTACTTGAGTACCGGTAATTATTTTTCAGCCTACTTTTTACTTCTAATTCTTACATTTTCACACAATTATCTGTACTACTACTCCTTACATTTGTAGAAAGTCATTACTTTTATTCATTTTTTGTTTTCATTCCAGCTTCTAATTGTAAAAAAAAAATACTATCCATAGAAATTGTGCCTCCTAGAGTGAGTGAATTTAATTGTGGTTGAATGAGAAGTATAAATATATAAAATTCTGATACCGTATTAGTTTGTACACAAACAAATCCTGTCACACTCCAGCAGGACATAATCATTAAAATAAAAGGACTGTACTTAAGAAATATTTGTATTTCATGAATTATATTATTGCATTTGTCCGCAGCCCTCAGATAGATTTTTGTTTTGGAGAAAAGGTTTGGGCAGCCTTGATGTACGTATAT